AAAATAAAAGGTTTTTTCTGTTACCTCAGTCTGTTTGTTACAAACAAAACTTTGCATGATTACTATTTAACTATTTAATACTCAATAAGTTTTTATAATATTATTAATAAGGTTATAACGTTTTTTTAGATCAACACAAAACAATAGAATAACTTTTCATTATTTGTTATGAACATCAACATATTTCTACTGATTAAAATGTCATTAATTATAAAGAATTGAAGATTTCATATACTTAAGTGAAACAAATTGTATATTCAATTTTGATAAAAGATAGTATCTTAAACATACTAGAATGTTCAACAATCCTGAAATAGTTTAACACGAATTATTTTTAGACTTTAGAATAATATGTTGAAACATCACCCAAGTTAATATTGCAAACGTTTATTACCTATAAATTATGGTGTTATACAAACTACACATTTATATTTATTGAATAAAACTTTGAATCGTTTAGTTTTAAATTGAAAACAGATGCTTAGCATTCACATATCTGTTATTCTAGATGGAAAAATGGATAAAAAAGATATTATAATAATGTAACTATTTACCCTATCTTTATTACCACGGGTCGCTGGGGGAAAACAACGATAATTTAAGGCTGGCCCTATTAAAAGAGGTCAGAAAAATAACATGTAAATTTTGCTTAATATAATGATTGATTTTTGCGATTAGGGGAAGATATATATCTGAAAATCAACATATTACACGAAATGTTTTATTTTCATTTATCATGCAAATCTGGATTAAGATTTCAGCATGTGTATACAATTTTAAAAACAGATAAGATGTTAACACACATTTTATACACAAAGTCGTATACAAAAGACAATGCACATTTTCTTTACAGAGTGATGTTTAAAAGAGAAAGTTTAAATGAGAAATCAGTTAATATATGTTTAAATAGAACTATTGATTGATCATCTCCGTATCTTTTTTTTCTATTACAGAAATAATTGCAATACCTAAAACTTAATTCTGCATGATTAAGGAATATTGGTTTAATTTTGCACACATTATTTTAATTATCTGATTAAAGGAAGAAGAGGTTTTAGAGCGTTTAATTGATAACACAACACGCACCCACGCATGATACGAAAGAATGATAATAATTATATTTAATACAGATGTACATCTACCGTTCACTAAAAGCTAAACCCTTTGCAAATCCTATTAATGTTATTTATAAATACACACATTTTATGTCCTATTATCAGAATTTAAAAACCTATTTTCATTCCATTTGTTGTAATATCCTTTGGCATTCATTTTCATGCTGTTGATGTTCTGTGTCGTGATCATGTCTGCCGACAAACTGGTCTATTTAGATTTAAACACTACAAAAATGCAAATAAACAGTGCGTTAGATATAGACATTTCTATTTCGACGACTCCTGGTTTGATTAGATAAACGACAAACATAATTATATTTTATCTGGTATACATGTATATATAACTGTGTGATGAAGTATAATACATAAGGCCTTTTATATTTTGTTATAATTTATTTAAGATTTGTTAAATACTGATTACGGAGAGTTTAGAAAAAAGCTTTTCAAGGTTAAGCTTCCTACTCAATCCGTAAATTTTATTTTATGTATCTTTTTATGTAAATGTATGGATTATAAATAAACTAAGTAAGGTTAATAATACAAACGTTTTTTTATATATTAATATAAGCCGATATCAGGCATTTTTGACATCCGATATTATTTCTTGTTACAGAAACCTATTATACTTCTGCAAGATAAAATTTGTACCGCTCTCCCGTATTTTCAAACTGTTAGCAAGTGCATTATATAACTTCCAAGGCAAATTTATCTGAATGCATGTAAAATTATAGTTTTTTATCAAAAATAATATGAACGTTTAAACAATCATGTTTCATTAGTATTTGATTTCATCGTACCTGTGCGAATTCGTTCCGCTATTTTAAATGGGAAAGAATTTAATGAATAGGGGTAATTTCTATAAATTGTAGGGATTTCGATGCTACGTAAAATGTGATTTAATATTTGAAAACATAGTGTCCTAGTCCTTTCCTTGATAATGTAAAGTGCAATGTCCAATCGGCAATCTGCCATTAATTTTTTATTTTGATACGTTTGCACCTTTATCACAAAAAATGTAGTTTGGGTAGCCTTGTGATATCGTGTGCTTGCAACAAAAGTGTATTTTCATTTCTTCTAAACAAATAACATAGTTGTATAGTAATGAATGTAAAAAGAAAGGGGAAAATCAAAGAAAAAAAAACGATATAATTAGAGACTCTTTTAGGTTGTTTTGACAAATATATGCAGTAACTTAAACGTAATTGGTTGACAGACTCATTCAACGCTTTTTTACTTTTACTCTGATTAAAATGATATTTTATTTAAATAATAAGCATAACAGTTTAAAAAAATAAATTATTGCACACTTTCTCTTTGCCTTGTTTTACTCCATTCCTACATTATCTGTTTCTGGAATGAGAAATGGTTTTAATGCGTGCTTCATAACTAATATATTTGCCATACAATATGATGATGTGATGATTGATATAATCCAATCATGCTCTCCGCAGATCAGAATGTTTTATAGCTGATGATTACATTGGGTAGTGACAGATAGACAGATATATTTTAAAAACACTCACATTTTTACAATACATGTTGTTACTGTTAACTTGATTTTTTAATATTTTTTTCACAAACGATCTACCACAATTGACAGATACTGTTTTCCAAACTTTTATTGTTTCATATAATTATATATGAGAAATGTTAAACCCAAATATGCAATAAACATTAAATAATGCCTGTCGGAATGCGATCTAAATATCACATTAAATTGAAACAAACATTTTACCACTTTTCCGTAGCGTTTTATCACATGCAATATCATGATTTATTTCGCAATGTTTTCATTATTTATTACCCGTTAAAATACACATAGTTGTTGTAAAAAAGCTGTCGATTTATGAATACAATATGATATAATGCCAAAGCATATTATTGCAATGTATTTTTAATTGTTTAAAAGTGTCGTTAGGCGCACTTTTTCGCTGTCAAGTTTAACATTGACTATTGTAAGATAATGAGCTAATGCCTCTTCAAATAATTCTTAATTACCATTTCTTAGACGTTACAATGTCATGCGGTGCCGAATAATCAACTGTCATTACTATCAAAGGCAATCTGTTGTTGTTGTTTTAAAGTGAACTTTGGGATTATGCTTGCATTTCGAAACAGATAACATAGATGTTCCTTTTAACATTTAACAAATGATTCATATATAGGCAATCTTTTGTTGTTGTTGTTTTAAAGTCAGCTTAAAGACTATGCTTGCATTTCGAAACAGTTTTCATAGATGCTTCTTTTAACAAATGATTCATATATTGACATACCCAATTTAGGGACAAAATTAGCTTTATGAAACAAATGTCGATCTTTTAGTTAGATTCCTATATAAAGATATCCAATATATGGACAATAATAAGCTTTATGACACAAGTGTTTTTCTTTTGGTAAGATTGTTTTAAGCTATATATCTGGTGTCGTAGTTAACAAAATTATGGCAAGTTACCGTATGTGTATATTTTCTTAAGAACGAATGGGAGCATGCACGAAATTATTGCTAAGCACTTGAAACTTTTTTTTATAATTTTGACGAGTTAACGTTTAGATAATTATACAAATTTAAGAATGGCAAATGAGATTGACGGATTTCAGTTTGTAATTCTAAAATGACAAATGAAAATCCTTCTTATATTCAGTTCTTCCGTGTAAAGTTTACAGGAAGTCAAACCGATCTCAGACGGACTCCGTCCGAAGAAATAAACTCCCTCATGAAAACCCTCATGTAAACCAATGCTACATGCAGAGAAAAATAACCAAATTTCTCTCTCAATTAACCGTTATGTCAAACCTTGCTAATTCATAAGGAACTATCAAAGCGAAATAATTCTCTGGACTCTAGTGAATTTACGCAGGTATTTCACTCGGTATATTATTTATCGTTTTATAGTAATAAAATTGTATATTATCATTAATATCACTAGATATTGAAACGTACCCGGGGTCTGCTAGCCCGGACACACTTCAATATCGACACGTGGGTTCTTCTCAAACACACGTAAATGGATAAGGGAAAATAGGGACACAAGGACTAAAAGATACGGACACCTGAAATAAGATTAACACAACAATTTATTAAATTTACATTTCACAAACAATACAATTGGTATATAGTATATTCTTTGGATGGCTCTGGCTTGGGCTCCTCGTCTTAGGTCAGGAATATTCTTCTGTTACGTCTAGAATAATGTATAATATAAGATGTAAAGAAAGGCTTGACAAATACGGTGTGTCACGTCTTGCCTGTGGTCTGGTACAAATTCTATGGTAGGAATTACCATGAAATGCATAAGGTTGATGGGGGTATCTAAATGGTAAAGTTCTACAACATACAGTGGTGTTCTACCCTGGTATATGGGTATCACTATAAAATTTGGGATTAGGGCTATGGAAACTTGGTCTTCAGTCAGGATCTATCATAAATGGAAAATAATGCCAAACTGCCAAACTAGATGATTTAATATAAAACTTCTATATGAACTATTACTGGCACAAAGTATTATATACCTTTCTGGTGGCTGGAGATACATCCATATTCAATATAGTATAGGTGTGGTCTGGTGGCTATCTACCAAGGTACTGACAATTTTGGCAGATTCGGTCTGCTATTTATAGTCTGGGACGCTGGGTGGCTAGCTTGGCTAGGGTGCCTAGCTTGGCAGTATCGTCATCGTCTCCGATGACGTCACTGCCTAGCTCGCGCGGACAGAAATTTAGCCAGTGCCAGCTGCCATGTTTAAATTGGCAGCGTGTGGATAATTGAACATTAAAACTGCTACAACGTAGAAAATAAGTCATTTTAAATAATATAACCATCGCAAATAATAAAAGGATGAAGTTATCTGTACATGCAGTGTATGTTGTGATGATTAAAAGTCGATTTCATGAAGTAGATTTAATTACTTTGGTACTTGAGTAGTTTCCGGATACGAGTTTATTTTCGGACGTAAAATGATGGGCCTGATCGTTACATTGCACCCCGCTCACATGGATTTAGCCCCTGAATAGTAGGAAGGTAAGTATATTTATAGTCGGAAGGTTTCTCATTTTACCTAAATAATGTCATTGGTAACACAACATTATGAGATAATTATATTATCGGGTAATTATCATTTGATAATTGGTTGTAATTTACACTAATTTGACAGAGGAGTTAATTAGTTTAACTTTATAATTTGTCAAACTTGGTATGTAACAGTGTAAGTGATAGACACATCATATTAATGCATATATTAATTATTATACATGCATAGTAATAATTAAAATTTGCTAAATATTTGCAAATTTTCCATGTATAGGAACATACATGTATATGTATTGTCGGAATTGACAAAATAATTTATTGATGTTGTATGATAACAACTGGCATAAAAATAATCATATAAAGTGTCACGTATACAGGTATCATTCACTCGGCACATTCAAACACTAAAATTTTGCATTCAAATAGAGCGCTCTATTATTACATTCATAAATAAATACATGTATTTAATATTTACAGTGAATAGAGAGCTTGGTGTATTGGTTAGTTGGTCACCTGGAGAAGCGGTTATTACTAACTGCTCATCTAAACAGAAGTATACTTCATTACATCCTCAGCCTAAAATACACTCCTTACAGTGGGACACTGTACAATCATGGCTGGTACATTTAATAATATTCATAATAAATTAACACTTGGCTAATTTAAGCACATAGGCCGGGAAGTCATATAGACAATATATCATCATTGTAATTAAATGTCATAACATATATGGCCAATATTTGGTACCCCCCAAGGTATACCAATAATAAAACTTCACTCTTTGATTTCAAAGGTGGCATCACTTCTTTATAAGTGGAATACAAAACATTGCACTGTTTTGGTTAATCATTTAAAATTTCAATGTCATCACTCTAAATGGTAATTAGCTGTCCATTAAATAACTTTTAGGTTATACTGTTTCAGGCTAATTTGATGGTAATGGTATAATGTCTCTTATTCTATTCGATTTCTTCATTTAGAGTAACGTTCTCCAGGTTCGAGTTTTGTTATTCTCCAGGTTTGTCATATTACGGGAAAAAGGACCACTCTGATGTGCAAGCAGAGGAACGATGGTGTCCACCTGAAGTCAATATTTTTGAACAACAGGGAGCGGGTTAAAATGTCCACCAGATGAACAGGCAGTTGGGTAAACAGCTGTTCAAATGGGAGCAGGAAGGGGGTCCACCTGAAACTCATCAATGTAAAGGGTTGATTTGTAACAAGGAGCGGTGTATTTGGAATTCCATGTCTTCATTTTTGTTAAATATTCATCAGCTGGATTGGTAAGAATAGGTATACATTATTTATTTAAATATCACTTTCATTTAGGATCAAAGTATCATAGAACAACAACTAGTTGGTTTAAACTTCTTATTATTAGTCTCTATTAATTGACTCTAATGATTTGTAAATGGTATCAAGTTTAAGGTCTTTTCTTTCCTGTTCTGGGTCAGTGACTGATGCTACTAATTTATTTCTTTGTTTATCTGCTGTACGGAAAGCCTCTAACCTAATAGCTGCTTGTTCAGCTTCTAATAGGGTTTTTGGTGATATTTCCTTTAGTCTTAATCTAATCTCTGTGTCTGTAATTGCATCAATAAAGTGATCTAAGGCTATGGCCTCAATTACTTCTTTAGAAGCACTGGCATAAGTGTTTCTGGTCAGTCTGTATATATCTTGGGACAATTGAGAAATTGTCTCCCCTTTTTGTTTAACTCTGGTTTTAAGTTTGGCTTTAAAAATGTCTGTTCTATTGGCTGGACCATAACGTTTGTTAAGTAGGTCAACTAGCAGTTTATATTCACAATGGTCTCTTGTATCAATTTCAGTCAACATTGATCTGGCATCACCCTTTAAACAACTAGCTAGGCATAATCCTTTGGATCTAATGTTCCATTTATTTAAATCACTACAAATTTGGAACGATATTAAAAATTCATTCAAGTCTTCAGTACCATCAAAAGTTGGAGGTTTCACTTTGATAGTGTTTGTATTTGACATTCTATATGAAGAGGTCTGGTCATCATAAGATAAATTACTCCTAGGTATGTCAGTAGAATTTGAATTTCTGTTTTCAAATATATCTTGTCTTCTTTCTATGTTTTTAAGTCTCTGGTCTACAGCTTCTCCAATTGAAGTGGGAGCATTTTTCATTTGTGTAGCAATCTCAAGCATTTTAGCTTCAGATTGGGTAATATTGTCTTGTGCCATAGAGGCTGGTCTTGAATAGTCTGAGTCTTGAGATAAAAAATCTTCTCTATCTGTATTTGTATGGTCTACATTGACATCTATGTCCATATCAATTTGATTTTGTGCCATCTGGTAACGAATAGCAATATCAAGGTTGGTAATAATTATGCCCCCATTTCGAAGAAAAGGGGGTATATTGCTTTGCACTTGTCGGTCCGTCGGTCCGTAGACCAAATGGTTTCCGAGTGATAACTAAAGAACCCTTAGGCCTAGGAACTTCAAACTTGGTATGGTGATTGGTCATGACCAGTAGATGATCCCTATTGATTTTGGGGTCAAGGGGTCAAAGGTCATGGTCACATTGACCTTGTAAGCAAAAACGGTTTCCAATCAATAACTAAAGAACTTTAAGGCCTAGGAACTTCAAACTTGGTATGGTGATTGGTCATGATCAGTAGATGACCCCTATTGATTTTGGGGTCAAGGGGTCAAAGGTCAAGGTCACATTGACCTTGTAAGCAATAATGGTTTCTGATCAATAACTAAAGAACTTTAAGGCCTAGGAACTTCAAACTTGGTATGGTGATTGGTCATGATCAGTAGATGACCCCTATTGATTTTGGGGTCAAGGGGTCAAAGGTCAAGGTCACATTGACCTCTTGGGTAAAAACTGTTTCGGATCATTAACAAAAGAACCCTTAGGCCTAGGAACTTCAAACTTTGTATGATGATTGGTCGTGACCAGCAGATGACCCCTATTGAGTTTTGGGTCAAGGGGTCAAAGGTTAAGGTCATGACCAGTAGATACTTGATAACCCTTATTAATTGTTTGGTCACTGGGTCAGAAGTCATGCATAATAACCTTTTCACATGACTAAGTGGCTGCTGATAGGGGGCATACATGTTTTACAAACATATCTTGTTATTCTATGTACTATTAATAATAAAAATAATAAAACTAGGTATAATGTATAATGTCTATTCCTTTCTGCTTTCAGGTTGGCCAGACAAGAATGCAGTCAGCAATGGGCATTCAAATAAGGCTATAATCATGCACCCAACCAACAAGTAAACTTGTTTGATTGAATGGTCAGCACCTTGGAAGATCAAAAATCTGGATCAGCAAATGAAATGAACTATGATACATAAATAATAAAATGTTCTGTCTCTTGGTTTCCTGGTTATTTCCCTGTAATGGTAAAGCAGACAACTGTTAATGGTTGATGATGGATCAATCTGGAAAATCTCATAAAATCATTGGAATCCCACTTCTGACACCAGTTGAAACGTACCCGGGGTCTGCTAGCCCGGACATACTTCAATATCGACACGTGGGTTCTTCTCAAACACACGTAAATGGATAAGGGAAAATAGGGACACAAGGACTAAAAGATACGGACACCTGAAATAAGATTAACACAACAATTTATTAAATTTACATTTCACAAACAATAAAATTGGTATATAGTATATTCTTTGGATGGCTCTGGCTTGGGCTCCTCGTCTTAGGTCAGGAATATTCTTCTGTTACGTCTAGAATAATGTATAATATAAGATGTAAAGAAAGGCTTGACAAATACGGTGTCACGTCTTGCCTGTGGTCTGGTACAAATTCTATGGTAGGAATTACCATGAAATGCTATAAGGTTGATGGGGTATCTAAAATGGTAAAGTTCTACAACATACAGTGGTGTTCTACCCTGGTATATGGGTATCACTATAAAATTTGGGATTAGGGCTATGGAAACTTGGTCTTCAGTCAGGATCTATCATAAATGGAAAATAATGCCAAACTGCCAAACTAGATGATTTAATATAAAACTTCTATATGAACTTTTACTGGCACAAAGTATTATATACCTTTCTGGTGGCTGGAGATACATCGATATTCAATATAGTATAGGTGTGGTTTGGTGGCTATCTACCAAGGTACTGACAATTTTGGCAGATTCGGGCTGCTATTTATAGTCTGGGACGCTGGGTGGCTAGCTTGGCTAGGGTGCCTAGCTTGGCAGTATCGTCATCGTCTCCGATGACGTCACTGCCTAGCTCGCGCGGACAGAAATTTAGCCAGTGCCAGCTGCCATGTTTAAATTGGCAGCGTGTGGCTAATTGAACATTAAAACGGCTACAACGTAGAAAATAAGTTATTTTAAGTAATATAACCATCGTAAATATTAAAAGGATGAAGTTATCTGTACATGTAGTGTATGTTTTGATGATTAAAAGTTGATGTCATGAAGTACAGTTAATTACTTTTAAATTAGTACTTGAGTAGTTTCCGGATACGGGTTTATTTTCGGACGTGAAATGATGGGCCTGATCGTTACAATATGATATCTTAATTATTCAAAAATAATAATTTAGTACTATGCCAGCCTCGTATACATTGTTACTTTTTAGATATAATTTTTCATTTTTTTTTGTTGATATTTCTTTATTTTTAGGTAATCAAACCAAGTAAAATGGTATTGGCTTTTTGATATGTAACTTTTTAATTAATACCTGTGTTGACAGAGATGTTCCCTCATCGAACAGTTTGCTCCTTGATTGGTCATGGAATGGTATTTGGACAGATATTATTTTTGTTTTTCATTTGCCATCTATCGCAGACATATATCATGCATTTTACTTTTTATTGAACGACCCCGATGGAGCTGTGTTCGATCGCCTGTTAGTAGGAAATGATTAAAAAGACACTATATATTACCATCATAAAAGCCATTTTATTTCAGAAAAAGAATGTTACGGATTTTCTGACATAAATTGTTGTTTAAATTCTTCATTTATATTAAAATTGTAATGAATATTTTTGTTTATATATTTAATAAAGTATGATCACGTTGTATACCATAACCATTTTAACATAAACATTTCCTTACATCATTGTGGCGATTAAAATTGAAATGAAGTTAACCATTAATTGTAAATTATTTTACCAGGACAAAATTTATAACTTAGATATAGAAGATGACCTAAATATATTTGTTTCTATTGACACTTTTTCCAAACTAATGTACGAATAATGACCACTCATTGTCGTACCCCTAGCAGAACTGTCTCTAAATTGTTTCGGAAATACAATTTTGCACCCTCTTATTTCATTTCGATTCTCACTAATCATTGAAATAAAATTTATCAATTGTTTGTGTGATTGTTTCAAAGGAATCATAATACTATTGTATATATGTTAACAAACTAATCTCACCACAACAACAAAGTCCACTAGATATAATACTGCCAGACATTTCCGAGAATGTAGAGGGAATATCAGAATTGTTGTCATATTTGACGTATAACAGCATAGCATGTTTTGGAAGCCTCTTGTGCCAAACACAATATAATAATTGTATCTTTGTAAGAACATATTATTAGTCCTCCCATACAGTCAACAAGTGCATCAGATCATTTCTAAGTTTTATCATTCGTACGATATAGTCATTTTTTATATTTATCGCATTTATTTTCAATGCACTCATACTAATGAATATTCAAACTTGTAAAGACAAAACAAATAAGTAAACACATCTGCAAATGATTCTAAATTCAAAATTTTATCATTCTGCTTAGGGCGGTGCTTGGGGGCTTGGACGGTAACTTGCACTTTTTATTACCGTCCATGAACAGGCCTAATCAATCCGAGCCTGCAGCATTTTCAAATTTGCCGTGTTGGACTTTCTTTACGGATTTCGTTTTCCTCTATTTTTAAGGATTTGTACTTTCATTATTCTGCCATCAAAATTTTGTTAAAACGTATTCAATTTATTGCTAGAAATATCTATGACTTCAAGCAATAAGTTAAATTTCTTAAACTGTTATTGAATAATTTATGTTCAATAATTTCATGCAGCTAAATTATCTAATCATGAATTTATTTAATTATGTTTGATTCATTGACCAGATGCTTTTTCAGAATATTTCATGCCACATTTCTTAGTGCTACATATGCATATGGAAGACCAGCCAGAGTTAAGGTAATACGATGCAAGTTTTCTGTTTGAAAAATGGTGACATTTTTTTCAAAATATTCAACCGACCACGATTACATAAATATTTCATTCAATTAAGTTATAGAAACAGTCAAAGGCAAATTTTTCAATTGGAGTTAACAAACCTGTACATACCGACGATTGATTATTAGACAGTGCTCTGGAATAATTGACATTTATGTTGGGTTCTAATAATAATAATAAAAATAGAATTTTATCACGACAAGCGATTTCCTTATTATTCGTTCGAATTATGATTATTGTTCTATCGTTATTTCAATTATACCACTTTAAAATGAATAAAGTGCTATTTTTTCTTGAAAGCATACATGTTATAGGCAAGTTCATGAAATGAGACAAAGTTTGTTGTCCTTAATGTTAAACTAACATTGGCTCAAAAGGAAGTGCTAAATATCTATATATCATGGTCAAATGCCGATTTTAAGTTACATAATATTAATTGATTGATTGATTGAATAATAAACAATTGCATTTGAATAGATTACAAATATTCTTTTACAAATGCACATTTGTACATGATTATAATGAGTTAAATTAATAAAGCTTCTTTTTTATTATCAATACTTTTAATAATAATAATTATAATAATATAATTGTTACTATAATTGTTGTTGTTGATAATATTATTATTATTATTATTATTATTATTATCATCATCATTATTATTATTGTTATTATCATAATAATATTTATTATTATTACAACAATGAATTTATAAAACTTGTATTGTATTACAGATGTCTATGAACAAATCAGTATACATTTAGATGTAACACTGGTTCCTTCCAATGTTTTAGCATCTTATTGTTGTTTATGCAAATAATCCTCGATTGCAAAATCTAATCCGAATATCAGCACAAATACTTTTGCATAACATATAATCATATTCAATCCTTGGAAAATATGAACCTTGCGCTTCAGAAGTCATAGAATCACAAAAATAACGCAAATGGAGTTCAAGGACAAAACGATTGTTCATTATGCCGTAAAGATATCAGGCATAGCAAAAAGTGAGAATATATTCATTTTGTAGTGATGTATCATAAACACATAACAAAAGATATTCATATCAACATCATAATTATTATATCTTCCAAGCTAACCCCAATCTGCAAAATATATTGTAAGTATAGTCTACTGTTAAACTGTACAAAATCAAGATCTTACCTTAGAGTTAAGTTACTGTACTATTTATCTTTCATATAACTATGAGTATTTTATGAATTATAATAATTATTAATTAACATTAGCGGATGCCTACCAGCGGAAATATGGGTGTCTGTGATAAAGGCACATAGTGAGGTTTATCCAGTAGCACACCAATATAGTGAAAACATTGTTTTCAGGTTGGTTGATCCGGAGATCCTCATGTATGACTATGTAAAAAACCGTTCGGTGTTAGGCTTTAAATTAATGTCTGAAGTGTGGAAGTTATTTTAATGTAGATTTTCAATTAAATGGTTATCTAACATTTAAATGTAGATTTATATTGTGATATGATGTTTGTAACAACATAGTATCCTATATTCTTTATAAGAATGACGATAATTAAACAACATAAATTGTAATCAAGGGTTTGTTCAGCTTAATCTTAATCAATCTTAATGTTTAATTTGAAATTGCTTTCGCTTTACAAAGAAGATTTAATACTTATATCGATCACTACACGTTTGATTTCAGACAAAATGAATTGCATGGCGTAATCAAGGAACATTTCCGCGATATCAATATGATGATAAATTAGTGTAAGTTTTCACTGTCGGTCCAATTTTACAAACAATATTGATTTCCTACTGGCATCGATAAATCTACATTTAAAGATAGACAAGAAATCTTTAAATGGGTATTTTGCACGATTTTGTGTGATTTACCAATTGTTATAACAAAACGTGAAATTTATTGGTATTCTGAACGTTCATACACCTTTACCAATCATCCAACTGTAATGAATATTTGTATTTTCCCTATCGAAAAAAGTCAACGAAGTAAAACAAAATAAAACAAGTAACGAAAAGGCGTGTTTTACAACGTTGTTAACGTTTGGCAACGAACCACGTAAATAAAACTTTGCACATTAAATAATCGAGATATATAAATATGTATAGTAGACATATCTTTTGTTTTATTTCCATAAATTGTTCCTTCTTTTAAAAATTAATTATGAGTTCAGAGAAATCAAACTTAAACCGTTAAAATGAATGATAACGTGCTCTAGTAGACAATGCAACAGTTTTAAGATAGACTTCAATGTATGGATTCGTTTGTTTGTTGGGTTAGCTTAACATTATAATTATTCTCATCAAACAATTTACGTCAAACTTACCATTTTGTATATTAAAGTTAAGTTTTACATCGCACAACACAAGATTATAAAGGGACTTTCCAGCTTTACTGCATGACCAGGTACCAAAACAACAAGCTAGTTGGATAGCTTCCTCGCATGAACGAATACAAAGTCCTGTAGGGATTCGACCCACAGTTCGCAGTCCAGCTTTACATGTGGAGGAATATTTCAAATGTCCTTTTTTGGAGAAAAAATTCATGAGACCCTTTACCTTTACGTACCAACGATTGGTTATAAGACAGTGCGATGGCAAAAAAAAAATGTTGGGTTCTAAAAAAATATGATAAATGATTCA